GCATGGGTTGCGGAGATGACATCTGGACTGGAAAGCAGTGATAAACCTTCTGCTAACAACTGTCAAAGAGTTTTCCTTTTTGATTGCTTGCTGTACTAAACAGCAGAAGTTCAAATAGGCATGTTTCTTCGTATTGCTGGACTAAAGATAAACATTATCTTAAACTGAGGCTTCTTGTGCGGGGTGGAGTTTGACATAGGGAGGCATTCCAGTTTTGTAACGTGTTTGTTTACTATAGTACAGAAATGTTGGGAGCCCTGGACTGGATACTTTTTTTCACTGTGCAGTTCTGTGATTGTCGAGCTATTCTATCTTGTGAAATGGTACTTGCTTCTGCATGTCTGGAAGATTATAGCAGAGGCCCTTCTTAGCCACCTCTTGTAAAAGACATCAGGCTCTCGTAACGGAAGTGCAAATTACTGCTTCCAGTAGTCTGTATTACTGAAAGGATTAAAGATAAGTGTGTGGCTGCAGCATTTATCTCCCTGTGCAAAATAAGGTAGCACTGGACTGTTACCCAGAAACAGTTCTGCACTAATTGAAAAAATCTTTGTTGTTAATGTCACTGGCCTTCTGTTTACAATGTGTTTTGTGTAAGTGTCCTGCAACTTAACAGCATTTGTGAGAAACCCTGTTACCACAGCAAATCTGGATGTGGTCAATAGGATTCTCACAATTTACTCTTTCTGGATTCTGTGGCAGTCTGCACTTCTAACGCAGCTGCACCTGTACAGCTTAATATGTACTTTGTAAAGTGGTATTAAATGGTGAGACTTACAACCGAAGAATTCATGTTGACATCCAACGTCATTCTTACTATAAACCCCAAATCTGTTTTTAATGTCAAGTGACGAGCTAAGTCAAATTTGATGTTCTCTTTTGTCAGAGCTTTGCTGGAGATTAGTACAGGGAGGTTCCTGAAATAGCTACTGACTGACAGGAGAGCAGAGCTGGAAGAGGCCTCTGGAGGTCTCCAGTCCAGACTCCTGCTCCTAGCAGGGAGTTAGTTCAGGATGCTCTGGACCTTGCCTCAGTCAAGTCATGAAGATGTCCAAGAATGGATAATGCCCACAGCCTCTTGACCCCTGTTTCCAGTGCTTAATCATGCTCATTGAGTATAATTAATACATTTTTCACACTTGGAGTATTCCTTGTTGTAACTTGTGACCTGTTGCCTCTAGTCTTTTCATCATGTACTTCTGAGAAGACTGGCTCCATCATCTCTACTAACAGACAACTATAGTGTGTCCAAAAAGCTTTCTTTTGTGTGTGTGTGTGTGTGTGTGTGTGTGTATAAAAACTATTAAAAGAATTCAAACCACTTTGGGGAATGATGAACAATATCTGCTGTGTCATCCCAGTCTTCATCCATGCCTAAAGGCAGTGTACTTGAAAATCATAAACACCTTGAGACCATAGTGCATATTACTTACATTATAGAAAGTAAAAAATCACTCTGCCCAGGAACCTTGTTCATCAATACAAACATTCTTATCTATAACCAAGAAACTAAAACAGAAGAGTTGAGCAATGGTTCATGTAAGAGCAAGACTTCTGTAAGAGCAAGAAACCTTTTCATAGCAGCATGTATTAGCACTGATAATAGGGCAGTGTTTCCAAAGCTGCAAAACAGCAATGGAAAAAAGTACTACAGAATCCCCTATCACATCACACATTGATACCAGAGTTTTACTTGAAGAGTCTGATCATTTCTATGCATCTTCTTAATACAGTTGTTTTCAGATTCTTCCTGATTGCAATAGTGCAAAGTACTAGAGTCCCAAATTTATGTGATTTAAAAGTGCATTTTCTGTTCTTATTAACAACCCCTTTTAAACGGTATTTTCTTGTGGCTGCATACATTAAATGCAAGAGATCACAGGAGTTTAATCTGGTGGTTCTGCTGAGCAGAATTAGTTCAGCCAGGTTAAACAGTAGTGCTAGCTTACTTGTTCTTGCAAGTACCCTCCATTTTGAAAGAGTGAGGCAAAAGCTGCTGCCAGGTGGCATGCTGGTGGTTTGGCAAGCTTTGGCAGGGGTTTCAGCTGCTGCTAACAGAACTGGGAACAATTGTGAACCTGGAGAGGGCCCCTGAGAAACAGTTAATGTTGAGTAAGAAACAGAGAGGACTACAGCTAGGGTGCTAGTGCTGAGTAGTCCAAAGCGTTTGGTTAGTAATAAATGAGGAAAGTAAGAATTCTGAATGTTAATGCAAACGGTGTTCTCAGAAATTCTCCGTGTGAAAACGTAACTGTGCCCTTCCCTTGCCCATAGAGAGAGGAAAGGAGCTGCCTGCTGCTAGGAGAGCTACGTCGGCAGGCTGTCCTCAGAGGATCGGGGAAGGAAGAGCTTCTTGCTGAGGGAGTGGAATGATCTTGAGTCTCCAGAATAAACTCTTAAATTCCAGCATTGTCTGGAGTGGAAGAGGACCGGTTGCTAATAGTCCCCCCTGAGAGATGAAGTCCAGAATTTCTACCTTGAGAGGGATGCAGATACTGCAGGATCTTCTGCATCATTGCTGGCTGCAGCTTAGAAGAAGGGAGCTGCTCTTTGCTTCCTGCATACAGATCACACAGGGTTTAGCTGGAAGACCTCCTCCCCTCATTATTCCTTGTGCAGGCTGTGATGAACCAGAGACACTCCTTGGCCTCCATGGGAAGAGAAAGTTGCTAGGAGGGACGGAAGCCCACAGATCTTTCTGTGCAGTTCTGGGATCCCTGCTCAGGCATGACAGATTAGGTAACAAGTTCTTGTCTTCTCCTGGTACTAATTACTTGGAATTGGTCTGTCTCCTTCCTTTCCTCCAGTGTATTTAATTCCCATGCCTGTGTATAGTTGTCGTATCACTGTGTGCACAGAAGTTGTAGCAGCTTGTGAAAGCAGCCATTGCCAGCAAGTCAGGAGGAAGTATCTAAAAATGGCTGTTAACGAAGGTTCTTCAGAACAGAAATGTCAAATTATTGTTGCTGTCCTTTATTTTTTTGTAAAGACAAAACAAAAAGCTCTTTCTTTTAATCTTGGCTTTATTTGGATAAAACGTAAAATGTCTTCTCATCACCCATACATGTTTATCCATCCTATTTAAAACACTTCTGTTTATGGATGAAAGCAGTAAAACAAAAACATTGACTTGATTGAAGATTAAGTGGATTTTTCTGCGCTGGCCAGTCTTGATTTTGCAAGATTGGTTTAATTAGGCTACATTTTTCTGTCTCTATTACTCAATGATGCTTTATGTAATAAGATGAAATTGTATTGTTATTCTTAAAATAATACTGAGTGCAATTTGATTCTCTCTCCTTATATGGCAGATGACTGTTGCAGTATTGCTTAGATACTATCTGTGCAACAAATGAAACTCAGAAGAAAACCCAACCACAGGACAAGAGAGTGCTGTGTGAAGACTGGTACATTTCACAATGAAAATATTTTTATGTGGCATTAAACAAAACCACAAGATATCTTCTTTTCCGTCTTCCTTCCTTTCATTCAAGAAAGGCTCGATAGAGAGCCATGAATGACATTTCTAGAAGCAGAAGTAGATTCAGAGGATCTTGAGTCATACAGCAGAATTGGCTCTTTGGAGGAAATCACTTCTGTTCTTTGTTGTGGCTGAGAAGGCAAAGTTTAACAGTGAGAAAATGGGAAGGAATAAAAACTTGAGTAGCTTGAGTAGCTGCTCTCCTTATTTTAGGATTTGACTTAGCTTTCCCATACAGTCATTCCAATTAGATACGGCTGTGAGGTTATCTGATCAATTTTCATTTTCTCAGAAGCACTTTTATACTGTTTGGCTGTGTGCTTGTTACAACGCTGTGCTGCCATGAAATGCTATACTGCGGTGTAGATGTAAAGGATTAGTCTGGAACTTCTGGTCTCTATTCAGCATGTTCATATGCTGTCTGCTATCTTTTTGTTAAAGTTTTGCAGAGTAGTTGTATTTTGGCCTGATGAGAATGCCAGTGGAGCTGCTTTAAAAATGCTGTCAAAGTAGTCCTTTTATTTGGTTGAATTCTCCATGGGGTTCATGATTCTAGTAAATGGTAGTAGGAGAGAGAGGCTTAGACATGAAAAAAATCATGGAAGTCTTAAAAAAAGTCATAACTGCCTTTTCTTCTGGATATTAGCTGTGTTACGTGAGCGGGATGATTTGGCATACAAGAATGTGTACAAAGCAAAGGAAGTGGAGAAACGTGCATTAATGCACTGATGAGTGGTAACAGATAATGCTGCAGAATGGTGCACATTAAATGCAAAGAAAATACCCATTAATGCACTGATGAGTGGTAACAGATAATGCTACAGAATGCACATTAAATGCAAAGAAAATACCGACAAGACTGCAGATTCCTTATAGAATATACCATCTATTAATTGGCAAGCATTTTTACACAAGAAGAAGAAAACGATAATAGATATAACAAGCAATTGTACCTTTCTATGTATTAGCAACAGTAGTTTTCCCTAACCTATTTGCTACATGCCCACAGGTTTACCGGCGATTCCAGTTCAAATAAATTCTAGCATCACAGGCAAATGAGGCTGTAATTTCAAAAGTACTTCTCTAAAAGTCAACATGAAGGGTGTTTTATATCCTTGCTGAAGAAGCACACAGGAAGAAACTTCTCTGTGTGTTTACCCACTGCAGCCATCCTACTGGCGGGTTGCAAAATGCACCTCTTGGCTTCATTTCAAGTTGTGATTCATTTTAACACCAGTGATGCTAGTTACGTATCACACATAACAAACAGAAAGCTGTTATGCTGATGTAAAGTCTGATTACGTGGAATCTTTTATCTCTGGAGAAAGAACATGTGCTGTGGACTCAAACTGCAAATGACATTCCTGACTCTGAACAGCACTTCACTCTGAAATACACTCGTGCGGACCTTGACTGCTCACAGCCACAGTGAAACGGCGTAACAACAGGGGGATCAGTTAACAACAGCTTTTAAAGACTGATCATATATGCTCTTATTTTTAACAGATTTATCTCAGCCTAAAGCCTCCACAGATCAAGGATGTTGATTCTTCTGGCTTTCATTATTGTGTTTCACATAACCTCAGCAGCACTGCTGTTCATCTCAACTATTGACAATGTAAGTGTCATTTCTTCTCTTTTTCTCTCCAACACACACGTGTTTTTCTCTTTGCTTCATAAAGGTGAAGTTACTCTTCTCTAATTGTCTTCAGCTTGCTTATTGAAAGCATGTAACTTTGTTAGGCACAGTAGTCTGCTTACACCTTTTTGTAACAAAAATCCCTTGAATACTCACGTTGCTGGTCTACCTGGCTAAGGGGATACAAGTAGGCGCCATACATTTGTATGGCATCATATTATAGGCCCACGTTATGGAGCTCATCTTCTCCCCTGTAAGAAACTCAGCCAGGGAGTATATTTACAAATATGATCATGCTTACAGGGTGTAGTTATGGGTTCAGCTAAATGTGACGGAAAGGGGGGGAAAAAGTCCGTCGTCCTTTTGTGTCAAGTACATAAGTCAAATAGCTCATGGTTAACGCATGGGAATGATTTCAGTCAAGGCATGCTTTGCCTCGGAAGTGGATGTCCAATTAAATAATGGAAGACACCATGAATTTATCTGTTTCCATTCAGTTAAGCAGTTTCAGTACAGCATTTTAGAATAATTTCCCTTTTTTATTTTTGTGACCAGAAAGAATTTACCTTCCAGTATGTACACCACCTCTTAATTAAATTTTCCTCTTTCCAAAACAGCCCACTGTCTGGATCGTCTTCTCAACTGTGCACTGGAGTCTTTCTTTTTCTAATAGGTTTGGGGTGTGTACAGGCTTTTAGGACAGAAGAAGAAGTCTGCTGAAAATACTTTACTGTACTCAGTGAAGCTGGTTTGAATCCCAGTCTTGTTCCAAGACTATGCTCCACGTGCAATGATGTGTTACCCACAACGTTTTATTGCAAAATTGTTCAAACTCAAATGTTGTCTTCCAGTTAGCTGGTTGATTTGTTCCACTGAACTAGGTCGTTAATTGAGCACTAAAGCAGGTTGTCGTACCCTGCTCCTTTGAATATTTAGAAAGCCACTTATTATTTGTTCAGATCTGCTACATACAAATCACATTATTACAGAAATAAACCCCCATGCACTCTGCTTTGTGTCATTAGCTGCTTTTAAACAATTATGAACTTAAACTGTGTAACCGCCTTCTATTAGATTTTATCATCTTCTAAGGATTTTTATAGTCATGAAAATAATGCTGAAAGGATTACATAGCGCTCAGATTTCATAGTGCTGAAAAATAATATATTGAACTTGGACTGCAAAATCCAAATGAATGGCATTCTGAGAAAGTAAAGCTTTTTCATAAAACACAGTGCCACTATTACACATATGCCTGCTATCATAATATTTTATAGTTTTTACTGCAGTATTGTTTGCAAAGCTGCACAGTGAGCTGTGAGGTTTCTGGAATGCCTGTTTAAGCAGCAGATGCTACCAGGAGTCATATTTAAAAGTCATATTTTTCCAACTGTAGTCAAAACAAGAGCCTGGGTAGCTATCGGAATGGGTTTCCCGAGGAAATGCCACTTGTATGGGGTGCTTGCAGCACATCCCAGGCTACTGTAAAAATCTGTTCAGTCACAGTAGTACTATTTTGCATCAAATGTTAAAACATCAAAATATAAATGCCACAGAAGGATCCTAATTTGTCACTTGCCACTTCCAGTCAGATGCCATAGTGCGCATCCTGCATTTGCACATTGACAGCACAGCTACATTAAGTTGAGATTAATTCAATTCCATATCAGGAATGGGAAAATTATTATAAAGGGCTTCTGTTTTCATAGATGTATACCCTGCTATTTCCTGCAAATTAAAAAATGCTGTGCCTTTAAAGAGTTGCGCATCCTAAACAGGGTCTGGATGAACAAAGCCGATCTTGTCTAGGTATCTTAAAGAGTGAGCAATCACTGACTATTCAAAATTTCTGCCCGAAAATCCCTTGTGCTTTGGCATGTTTAAGATTGCCATCTATTCCCTTTTCTACTTTACACAGGTCTAAAATGAAAATGACATGTGAATAATGATATGTCCCTTATTCCCAAATGCCATTAGATCCCAAATTTAGTTTGAATGTTTAATTATCAAAACTGAACAGAAATTTGTTCCAGCTGATGTATCTGATCAGGAGACACTCGGACAACTAAGGAGTTTTGTGGTATTGGGTTTTTCCCTCCCTGTAAGAACCCTTTACTTTTACTTTGCAGGCTTGGTGGGTAGGAGATAATTTTTCTACAGATGTCTGGAGAATGTGTGCCATGAATACTAGCCCGTGTGTGGCTATTACGGATCAATTCAAAGGTGAGTGTCTCTCCATGCCTATGTCTCAGTTCCTCAAACAGGAGATCTGGTGAAATGGCTACAAAATTTGCAGGGGCAGTAATATATTTGTTCAAAAAGCTGCATGCTCTGACTACCCAGGTCTTCTAAAAACTTTAATACTGGCTTTTCATTTTGGAAAAGCAAACTGCTCCAACCATTTCTGTAAGAGGAAAACAGAGGGAACTGTCAGGTGTATTGGAAAGCCCAGCGCAAGAGAGTAAACACAAACAACTAACAACGAGTGCTAAAGAGTTCTTAAAAAATTAGATCAGGTAAAAACAGTGAAGTCATCTGAAAGTGTGGCAGAAGTGATAGAATTTGCCTCAGGATTGAACTTTAATTCCCAAAGAAGAACCTAAAAGTACTGACTGCATACAGGGATGTGGGGGGGAAGAGTGGAAGAAAGTCAGAACACAAGCTGAAGTTTTAACAAAGACTTAATATACAGCACAGCCTAGCATCCTGCTTTACAAAAAATAAAAAAAAAAAAAATCAAATGTTACATTTACTGTATTTCCATACTTTCAATCTTTGTGTATATTAAAGAGTTAGATGATTCGGAAAGAGCCATGTATGCATAAAGTAACTTTGCTTTCCACGCATCAGGTTGGTTTAAGGTGTATTTGTGCTGCAGTGAGATGATCCATTACGCACAGGCATATCTAAGCTAACACAAATTGAATGCATTTGCATTTGACATCTGTGTTGCTATGCATTTATTGAAATGAGGTACCCGCACTGGCTAGATCATGAGCAGCTTGGGTATGTCTGCTGTTCCCAGACCTACTCGTGGCAGTGTAGCTACACCAGAGGAGAGATGTTGCAAGGAAGGGATCTGCCTAGCTTGGCTCGGCCGTATCATTGCAGCAAAGTTACCCAAAGCAGCTACATGTAGTTAGAAATTTGTTGGTTACTTTAGCTCCTAGTTATAGGAAAGCAAGTGACAGGACAAAAGACCTTAATCAAAGGAATCTTTTGTGCCAAGTGTGGATATCCTGTCTGGTTATATCCTACCAGATAGAGCTGGCTCCAGCTCTGGTGGGAGGCTGGGGTCTGCACTTGTACACCATTTGGGACACCTGGCAGTTTCATTGCACTTTTAGTACCCAGGTGGTAGCAAAGGCTGTGGTGTGGGAGAAATAGTCTCTTCAGCATCTTCATGCAGTTTTATGAAAAGCTGCCCCTCTACTCGTTGCAGGAGTAGGCAAAGAGAAAAACTGTGTTTTTAATCAAGGATGCTTTTGTTTTTTCAGAATATCAGTCAATTCAGGCTGTTCAGGCCAGCATGATCCTATCTACTATTTTCTGCTGTGTGGCATTTCTGGTTTTCATTCTTCAACTCTTCCGTCTAAAGCAAGGAGAAAGATTTGTATTAACCTCTATTATCCAGCTCCTGTCATGTGAGTGATTTTTCAACACTTGTGACTTTAATGATGTTTACATGGAAGTAGGAAAGGGAAGGGGGAAAAGGTTTCAAAAAGAATGAGCTGCATAAGAAATTTGTTGGGCTCTTGAGGTCATAGCTTATCCTTCATATTTGTTTAACCAGTGAACTGCTCTATTCTGTACTGTTCAGGCAGTGAAAACATGGATGACATCAGCACTCAGAATAAAGTCTTTTAAACTTTGAGGGGAAAGAATCTGAGATTGTGAACTGCTTGAACAAATTAAATAACTCTGTAATTGTTACAGGCAGGGACTTCCTTATTTTTTTGTTAGTCTTTCAAACTATCCAGATGTTTAGAATAATTTTGTGTCATTGCAAATGACATAAATACACAACAGCACTGCAAATTTAATCCATGCCAAAGAAACCAAAAATATGTCCTGAAATGCTCCCAGTTTAGTTTGAGGATGGAAGATGAGTGCAAAAAAAAGGACATTGGTGGAAGTAGCTGACAGAAGACAGACTGAATAGTTGTTCTGCATATTGATCGTGTTTCAAGAGGCTAAACTTTACCATTTTCTTCCTCCTCCAGGTCTGTGTGTTATGATTGCAGCTTCCATTTACACAGACAGACACGAAGAGCTCCACAAGAGCAGTGGATATACCACTGAAGTCTCTAAAGGCCAGTATGGCTATTCCTTCGTCTTAGCCTGGATTGCATTTGCCTTTACTCTGATCAGTGGTGTCATGTACCTAGTATTAAGGAAGCGTAAATAAATGTCAGCAGCTAGTTATTTCTGTCACTGCAGTACAAAACCAAATTCCAGTAACCATTTTGTATATAATCATTTACATGGTTTTGTAGTAAAGGTATTGTTTCTCTAAAAATGTACTGTGTTCTTGATATGAAACAGAATAAAAAAAGAATGGCAGGTTTAATGGAATGCCTGGCACCTACAGGTCAGGGGTCTGAGCAGAACAGAGCCAAGTTGTTTCTTTTACACATTTCATCATCATAAATAGTTTTCCCTTTACTAGGCATTAACAGTTTGTTCCTGGCCTCTGGTGGATTACAAATAAAGCCCGTGCAAATTAATTTGTAACCAACATGCTAACTATATTCCTGGACCAGATGCATCCCTTTGGGATGGGATAAATACAGGGGGAGTAAAAAATGAGGCCCAGATCACAGTGAAAAAGCAAACAACTATAAAAGCCCAGAGCTGCATTCCATGCATCTGTTCTGGCAGAGGACTAGTGTTCTGCTATTTATAATGGGCAGTAAGTGTCATCAAGCTTTTATTAAAACGACTTGCTTTGCAGAAGTAAACAACTCCTTTTTGTACTCCAGCAAATTATTCTCGTGATTCTCCTTCACATTTAATTTAAGCATACAGAGCCTTTGGCAGGAGAATTTACTGGCAAATTCACTGCACAACTTGGGACTGGAATAGTCTGAGCAGTAAAGAATACCCCACTCAAGTCCTAGATCCCTTTATTTTTGCATTGTGCATAGTCTTTCTGGAAGGAAGATTAAAAAAAAAAAAGCATTACCTTGCCTACATCTGCAAATTTCTAAGCAAATTAGTGATCAAGCAATGCCAAATTTTGGTTTTTACAGCCAAACTCAACATGTTTATTACACTGGGCTTTTATTATATAGTGATTTCGTGGATAATGTATCATTTACAAAAGCATTCCCCGAGCCTGCCCTTTAGGAAATTGGCCTTTAAAAAATTCATTCTAACTTCCTTTGCAGATTTTACTTGAACTAAACACTCCTACTAAATAAATCAGAATGCAATTACTTATGCTTATGAATTCCAGGATAGTTTTTCAAGATAAAATGACTTGGTGATTTTTATTTTTCAATAATTTTGTGAGATAAATCTGTACTGTAACACCAGGCTTAACTGCTCAGCAGCATAATAACTGGCTTTGGCTGATGGTGATTTTGGAGTTGGGAGATCAGTGTGGCGAATGAACGGAGTGGCTTTTTCTAGTTAGTCACAGCTTTGATGCTTAAATATATATTTGACTTTGTAAAAACACTAACCATGTATTTATTTCAGTATATTCACTACAGCTGGCCCAATACACAGGCAATAAAAAAGTAAATAGGTTTTGAATGAGGTTTTACACTTAATGTAGAACAAATTCGTTATTGCAAAGTAGCGTAGCTCTGCTAAAGTCAATACTTACTGCATTATACATCAGCTGATGGTCTGACCCATTGCTTCAGATAATTCTTCCTTGATTTCTCACAAAGTTCAGGTGTATAACTGTATAGGAACTGTCTCCAACACAAGTAATAGGTCGTATAGTTCCATCTCCATTCTTTGAACATCTTAAAATGCTTTGGCACATACTATTTGTCTTTTGGGAGCAAAGCCCAAACAGGCTTGTAAGAAATTAGACGAGTAAGCAGGACAGCACATTAACAGTAATAATAGTAGTAAAAAACCCACAATCAGTCTGAGCAAAATGCATTCTCACCAGTCTAGCATGGTGCTAGTGTTTTGTCGTTTTTTTTTCTCACAGTGGGAATGCTCTGAATGTCAAGAATTATTACCCTACTTTTTAAAAAAATGTTTCTACAGTTTGCTGAATGCATTTCAGATTCAAAACCTGAATTTTGCTAGCAAGCAAAATTTGTCTTAAATAAGCAGATGCAGGTTTAAGGTTGAAAGTAGATAGTCTGTTAGCTACACATTTTGCTAGTTTTATTCAAACATGAAATAGTAAGGGAAATTCTTAAGCAAATATGGATTAAAACTATCTTACATGTAGAAGACAGTCCTGTAAAATTGTAAATTAAGCAGTGATGCCACTGACTTGAAGAGATACTTCTTCAGTTTCTTGCCTTGGTAATGCGTAGGTCATTTATAGAGCAAATATTTAAAATAAAGATGTATATATACATGAACACACAGCTTAATTCCACAGTAAAAGATCTGTCCATTTAATTAAAAGTGAAAAGCATGCACACCACGGTGTACAACAGCATACACTTGATGCCACATAAAATGGGACAGATGGGAATGTGCTGCACACCAAGAAAACAAATGCCAAACCAGTTTGAACTGGAGTTTTAACAGGACAAACATAGAATATTCTTTCTACCTGATATGCCTTTAAAATATACCGTTTTCTATGGTCTATATATTCTGAAACTGTACATGAAAATAAAGTTAAACCAAATTCTTGTATTGCAATAGCAAGCTCTATACATTTAGCAATCTCACCTTTTCTTTAAGCTTGGGACATATTTACACAATGTTGGATGAGAAATAGTTGGGTATTTGTGTGAACAGGTAAAATTAAATTCTTCCTGCCTGTACTAGAACCACAAGCTGGTTATTTTTGTCCTTTGTTGAAGACCTTCCAGGGTAAGCAGAGAAAATATTAGTGTATTGAACATTTAAGTGTATGGTGTCAAAAGAATAGCTGCTGAGTAATGCAAGACCCACAGATGCTCTGGTAAGTAGTTTACTTCTAAGGAGTTTTTTTAATCATTTCCTGAAACAGCTGTATTTAAGATTAGGTCGAGTGCCTTGACCACGTGAGAAAATGATGTTAGAAACAGGCCAGTGACTTCTGTATCTGCTGTGGTCTAGTCTTCAGGTTTGTACTGAGATGATACAAATACAGATGGGTTTGTACGGATTAATCCCAAACGACCCCCCCAGCTCCCCAGAAACCGTTTCCCCAAACCCATAAAACTTCTGCCTTATAATCGCAGTGAACAAAAGAGAGAAGTCCAAACTATTAAAATACTCAATAGCGGCTGTGAATCTACCTTCACATTTTTTTACCTGGCAAGTAAGCATCTGAAAGGAAGTACAGGAAACAATCTTGGAAAACAAATCTAGACTATTTATGTCAATATACTTTTTTAAAAAATATGTATTTTTTTAATGTATCCATCGAGGACAAGACAAACTGAAGTTCTGCACTACTTTGCTATGAGATATCTTTGAAAAAAAAAGTGCCTTGTAGGTGATAGGAACTGTGCTGCTTAGGCATTAACTCTTTTATTATCCCAGCTACACCAACAATTCATTTTACATGCTTCTTAATGGCTTCAAAACAATGGAGTCACTCCAGCAGTGTGGTCTTACCCTAAGCATTGTGAAAGCTTGTGCCATTTAGCTAAACAGACAAAACAAAATAATCATTCCTATAGTTTCTAAAAATAGGAGTAAAATGAGCTACTACCTTTCCAAACACTAAAGAGAGCTAAGATCCCTAAAATAATGGTTCATCAATGCCACTGAAATAAAGAAAATAATGAAGCTGAAAATTTTATATTTTTCATTTCTTTCATATGTGCAATAATCCCCTCTGAAGTAGTAAGATGGAAGAAAGTGAAATGTGGAAGTAAATTAGTTTTACAAAGAAGACTTCATTTTCAAGGCTGTAGAAACAAGCTTACAAAATTAACAGAATAAAGTTCATAACAGACTGTAACAAATAGGAAACATAAGGAAATTAATACTGTCTGCAGTACAAATAATGCTTTGACTCGGAACTCCTTTGGGATGATACCCTGTGATAAACAGCAAGCCACTGAAAGTGGCAAAGCCCTTATCTTGCCTATTTTCTTCCATTTCTGCAATGGTCAATGACAGTGCAGTCCCGTTTGGATTTTGCTCATCAGGCACTTGTAGTTTCGGGATTCTGAAGAGGGTCTTTGAATTCTTCAGCAAGCTCTGGATGAAGAGGGATCCTTGGCAGTGGAGGAAGAAGTGGAAATTGCTTGAAATTCTAGGCACCAAGACAAAACCAGTTGTTAATTCAAACAATAATAACAAATAAGCCAGTTACACTATGTATTCATACTAACTTAGCTTCATGTAAATATATAAACTTCTGAATTGTTACAGTCTGTATAGTTTCCAAACTAACAGAAGTGTCACAGATTACCTGAGGTTCACATATTAATATTCAGCATGTTGCTGATGTTTGGTTTCTCTGTCCAGTAAGCTCTTCCCTAAAGTAGAAAACAATCCTTTCATTGTCGTAATAACAACTTAGAACAACAGGTTGTCAAAAGGAGTGCTGAAGAGATTACCATCACATCCAGAGGGGTATTTGTTTACTTTGGATCATTACTGCACTAACTGAATTACTAGATGGGTGGGGGGGGATGTTCTTTTTTTCTTTTTTTTCCCCTCTTAATAAATTTAGCCAAAAAGCCACAAACATGTGCATGTACTTACTTAGTTTTAAAATGTGTACATTGCACAGATGAGTAAAATTGCAGGTGCCTTCATGAAATTCAACTACTATAGTGCATTTCAACAGATATGGAACAACCCTGATGATACCCAAACTGTATCACATGGTGCAGATTTTGGTCTATTTTACTGCTGCTTCTTGGAGAAGAAAGCCCGTGCTCTATTTCTCTTCAAAAAATTCAAAAAAGTGAAACTGTATTTCTAAAAATGGTAGTTGTGTTGCTGTCATAAATGCTAAAGTTCAGAAAATTTAATTTAAATCAAATATGCACACACTGCTACAAAGAAAGGGTAGCAATATAACACGTGTGCATTGCTTCACAGACTCAACCTTCTTAATACATTATCAGCAAGAATTAAAAAAGGTGCCACATTCTCTTAAAAGGTTTTTTCTTATCACTTTAAATATTTTAATTTACTTTTTAGTAAAATATTTTCAGCAGAAAAACCTTACTTATGCTTAAAGTATCTCTATTGAAGAATTAAACTGTTTTGGAACCTAAAAGCTCAGAGGGTAAAATTTTAAATCCTGTTAGCAAATAATGTTTTCACACATTTGTAGGCATGACAAATTTGGAGAAGGAGGGAAGGAAAGGGAGGAAAAGAAAGAGGAAGGATGACTCGAAAAAGTTTTGGGGCTAAAGTTTTTTGTGTGTTTATTTCTAACGATGGTATCTCCTGGCATTACTTATTTGCTTA